CTCATTTCAAATCTCCGTGTAATCTAGGAAACCGTCTAACTTACCGAGGGCCTCCGTGTTTGACTTCCTGGTGTTTCTGGTTGTTTTTTCAATTAATAAAGCTCATGGCAGAAATTATAGAACAGTAACTGAAAAACCACCCACAACCCCACTGCCCAGAGAGAGCCAGCATTTCTGCTTTAGTAGATGTCTTTGCAATCTTTGTCCTGTGTTTCTTTCTAACTTCTCTCCTCAGTTGAATCCCTTCAGCATTCGCAAATTCCTCGTTCTAGTTACCTCTGGAGCCCCTGTGAGACTGACACCACAGTTTTTTGTTACCTGCTTTTTTTACTTAACGTACCTAGAACATTTTTTCTGTTTTCTTAAATATTTTTCAAGAATGTCTTTTTTTTTTAAATACTGGCTGCACAATATTTCATTTACACCAACAGGCCATGACATATTTATTATCTAGACTCCTATTTCAATCATTTCTAACTTCTTTGCTGAAATAGATAATCTTGTGACAAACATCTGGTACATAAATCTTGGTGCCCATCTCTGATTATGTCCTTGAGCTAATTCCTAGAAGGGGAAGTGCTGGGTGAAAGACTTTATGAGTGCTTCTAATACTTTCTATTGCAAAGCTTTATTGAGATACAGTTTACATAATCATATAGTTAACTTATTTAAAGTGTACAATGGTTTTTAGTATACTTACAGAGCCGGGCAACTATCTGCATGATTTTAGAATACTTTCATCTCAAAGAGAGACATTCCCCATTCCTCCCCTCCCCCCAGCCCCAGGCAACCACTAATCTGCTTTCTGTCTCTCTAGATTTATCTATTCTGTTCTTATATAAATGAAATCAGACAATATGTGGCCTTTTGTGACTCTTCTTTCACTTAGCATCACATTTTCAGGGTTCATCCATGTTGTAGCATGTGTCAGTATTTTGTTCCTTTTTATTGCCAAATAATAATTACACTGTATGGACAGATCACATTTTGTTTATCCATTCCTCAGTGGATGGACATTGGGTTGTTTCCACTTTGGGGCAATTATAAATAGTGCTGCCGTGAACATTCATGAAGAAGCTGTGGTTGGACACACGTGTTTTCATTTTTCCTGGGTATATACCTAGGAGTGGAATTGCTGGATCATATGGTAACTCCATGTTTAACATTCTGAGGAACTTCCAAACTGTTTTCCAAAGTACTGCACCATTTCATATTCCCACCAGTAACGTGTGAGGGTTCCAATTTCTCCACATCCTCACCAACACTTGTTACTGTGTTTTTGATTGTATGTTGAGCGTCTTTTCATGTGCGCACTAGCTACTTCCAATGCTAATGCTAAATCCTTTTTTAACAGGCTTCTAGAAAGGTTATACCTACTTATCTTCCAATAGTGGTGCCAGCACTGGGTATTATTCTAAAAACCTTTGCCAACTTCCAGGTGAAGTGGTTATATTGTACTTTCTGATTATGAATAGAATGGACCGTATCTCTTTTTAAAAAACATTGAGATATAATTCATGTGATAGAAAATGCTCCATGGTAAAGTACAGTTCGTTGGTTTTTAGTCTACTCACTGTGTTTGCAACCGTCACCACGACCTAATTTCCATCACCTCAGAAAGAAACCCAGTACATATCAGCAGTCAGTCCCCATCCCATCCCCTCAGCCCCTGACAACCGTTAATCTACTTTATGTCCCCATGGATTTTGACTGCTTCTCTCCTGCTTCTTGGTCATGTTCATTTCCTGTGACTCAGAGGCCATCTGTGTGGTCTCCTGCACCGTCTGCCTCTTTCCCGATGATTTGTAAGAACTCTTTACGTGGATATTAGCTCTCCGTCACAATGCTGCAAATATTTTCCTAGTTTGCCATCTGACTTTTCAGTTGGTCCCCTCCTTGGCCTAGGGAGGTTTTTAAGTCTGGGCGGTGAAATAGTGCTCTTTACCTTCACCGTTTCACTCATTGCTTTTCCTCCTTAGCAAGTCCTTTCCGACCCTGAGATCAGATAATTCCTAAGGTTCTTCTATTCCAGTTTTGTCTTGGTTTTGTTTTTCACTTTTAATTATTTAATCCAGCTGGCTTTTATTCTCTGTGGCTGGTGTGATTTCCTGTTGTTTTTTGGTGTCAGTGAGATGCTGTGTGTCAAGGCGTATCACATAGGAAGCACTCGCTAAACGCAGGCTAAGGAGAGTAACAGTTCACGGCAGGTTGAGCTTGGAAGGGTAGAGATTCCCAGGCAGTGGCTGCTGGGGCTTCAGCTCTCTCTCCATCAGCTCAGCCGGAGGCTGACTCTGCTCGGCCGACTCTGAGCCCCTCAGGCCCAGGAGGCCCTGGCTTCCACCTCTTCTTCTGAATCATCATTCTTCGAAGGCAGGCGGTGGCCACTGTCAGGGGCTTTTGGGGATCTTGGTGGTGACGAGCCCCCCTCCCCTCTGGTGCTCTCCCCTACCCGAGGCCGGTGACAGAGGTTGTTTGTTGTTTCTTAAACCACATCTCTTTCCACCCTCGCTGGGCGCCAGGCGCGGAGCAGACAAGGGCCCGGGCTGCAGCTGAGGGTGCACCACTGGGGTGGGGGCCACCCCGCTGGCCTGGCCCCACGGCAGGGCCGGAAAGCAGACACGCTGTGAAAGCCCTGGGGAGCCGGCCAGCTCTGGGACCCCGGCCCTGTAGCAGACTCGGGTGGGCCCCTCTGCTTCCCCCCCCGAGACCACAGAGCACACCCTCCTGTGCAGCAGGAAAGCCCCGGGGACAATGCAAGGTTTGGCTTGGGTCCTGGGCACGTGGCGTGACCTCCGGGAGCCACGGCTTCCCCTTCTGTCGGGGGGGTGACCACAGTCCGGCACTCGTGGCCCTGAGAGGTCCCTGGCACTCAGGTGGCCGGAGAGGCCCTGTGAGAGGGAGGCGTAGCTGGGGTGAAGGTTCACAGGCCTTGGCTGGCCCCGTGGCCACGTGGGGGCAGGGAGGATTCCTGGCGGGACATCGGGAGCAGGATGTGGTCGCTCAAGACGTGGGCTGGCAGCAGCTGGTTTGCAGCCGGTGGGGGTGGGGGTCTGGCTGGGCCTCTGACCCTGCTTGGGACCCCCAGTTGATCTGGGCCTGAGTGCTGGCTCAGCGCTGCCTGACAGAGACGCCACCTCTATCCTCAAGAACGTTTCAGGCCAGCTGGCCAGGACAAGGGGTAACTGGCCGAGGCTGTGGCCGAGCAGCCCGTGCCCAGTGCTGACTCTTCACAGCTCCAAGCTCTGGAAGCGAGTCGATCCTAATTTGCCAAAGGGTTGGGCCAAGAGTGGTGCCCTGTGTGGAGGAAAGGTGTGGAGGGGAGAGAAGCCTAGGAGGTGTGAGCATGCGGCCAGCTAGTGAGGGCCCCCTCCATTCCCGCCTCCGCAAGGCCCGTCCCAGGACATCCCTCCCCGGGCCGGGCGACCTGGCCCTCCATCAACCTGGAGGGGAGGGGAGGGGAGGTCAGTTTGTGGGTCTGTTCACTTACTCGTCTATGTCTGTGAGGAGATGCAGGAAGTGGGACTTCCAGGGTTGGTCCTTCTTTAGCCACAGACCCCCCCCCCAAACCTTGGGTGTGGACCCCCACGCTGGCCTCAGAGCAGACCATCCTCACGCCTGGCTCATCCACATGCCGCCGCCCGGCGTGAACCAGGCCACCCGCATGTCAGGAGGGGTTGAGGGCTGTCAGGGGGATCCCAGACTGGTTCTGTGTGTGTTGGGGGGGCTGTCTCTCTCTATGGGGGTCTCTGTCTCTGAGAGGGAGGTTGCTCCAGCATCTGAGAGGGGCTTTGTTTCCCTGTCACTGTGATTCTGTGTGTCTGGGGTGGTCTCCATCTCTCTGAGAGGGGGCTTTGTGTCTGAGTCACTGTGAGCCTGTCTTTCTGACATGTGGGAGGGACTCTTATGGGCTTGGGGGGGTGTCTTCAGACAGGCTCCCAGCCCCTATTTGTCCCAACATCACTGGCTAATTACTCCTCCTACAGGGTCTTCTTGGGGCCTCTCAGGGTCCAAAAGCAGCCACCACCTTCAAGCGTGGTCACTCAGGGTGTGATCTGGGGGTGCCACCTGCCCAGAGAAGGGAGGTGAGAGAATGGGGACTCCGCCTCCGAGCAGGGTTGTTATACTGGGGTGTCTCTCACCATGTCTGTATCTGCCTTTCTCTCTGGCTCTGGAGAAGTCTGTTTCTGGCATTGGTGGGCTCTCATTTGCCAGAAAGAGGAAGCTGACTTGGTCCATGTGGCTTTTATGGAAGCGTCTCTTGTCCCCTTCCTGCTCCCTTGTTGTCCCTGAGACAACAAGGGCAGCCTGAGGGGAGACCTTGCGCATAGCATACTGGGTGCATCTGGGAGGCTCCTGTGTACTCAGGGGAACCTGCAAGTTCACTTACAGAAGCCCTGGGGGTGCGTTCCATTATCACCCCCATTTTACAGATGAGAAAGCAAAGGCATAGAGAAGCGAAGTGATTTGCTCAGGGTCACACAGAAAAAGAGGCTTGAAGCAGGCATTTGAAGGGCCTGTGTGTGGGTGTCATGGAGTCAGGGCCCTGGCTGGGGGCAGAGGAAGGAAGTGACCTGCGGCCCATAGTTCCAACATTTGTTCGGCCCCTGGAACTGGCTCACTGCCTTCAGTTTGCCCCCAGGGGAGCTGGGGAACAGGGGGGTGAGATAACTCACCACACCCCCACATTTGCCTCTGTTCCCCAGACATCTGAGGGCCGGGGGCCCCAGGCACTCACCCAGCTACTTACCCATCCATCTGACAAACTCTCTCCAAGTGCCTCCTCTGGGCTGGACCCGGTGCTGGGCCCCAGCTGGGAACAAGGCTTGGTGCCCTGACCCCACCCCCAGAGGAACTCCCAGTCAGACGGTGGGGGCAGCCGCACCATCAGGAAATTATGGCCAGGACTGATAAGCTCCGTGCCGAGGGAGAGGCACAGGAATCGCACTGACCATGGCTTGGTGATCAGAGAAGGCTCCCTGGAGGAGGGGAGATTTTCTCTGCCAAGACCTGCAGTTTGGATCAGGCCTGGCGGTGGGAGACATGAGCTGGGAGGAACGGGCTGGATGGAGGTGGGTGCTGTGGGCTCTGGGGCTGGGCAGACGAAGGTCTGGGGCCCAGCTCTACTCTGCTCCTCTGGCCGAGGACAAGGAGTTTCGCCTCTCAGGACCTCCGTTTCTCCTTCTGTGACATGGGGTTGGTAAGTGTCTCATGAGGTGTCAAGAGCCTTCCTCTCAGCCACTCATCTCCCCCGGCCAGCTGGAGCCTGGGGGGACCAACCTGTGTCCTCTGTCCTCCCCCCGACCATGCTGCCTTGACTGTCACTCCTCCACAGCCCTCGCTGGGATGGGGGGTCTGTGGTGGGCGCCATACCCTGTGCTCTACTGATCCCCCGGACACACGATGCTTGGCAAACAAAGGGCCTGGGATGAGTGTGTAGGAATGAAACTGAGCACCTGCTACCTACCGGCACTGTGCTCGATACTGGGGATGCCACATGAACAAGAGTCCCCAGAGAGAGAGCACATTTCATAGGTTGGTAAATGTAGTGAAAGAAGTAAAGGGGGTTCTGTGGTGGTGACTGTGTATTTAGGTACCATGGTCAGGGAGGGCCTTCCTGAGGAGGTGACACTCGAGCTGAGATCTGAACCTGAGAAGAGCCAGATCTGTGAAGATGTGGAGGAACTGCCTTTCAGACAGAGGGAACAGCAGGTGCAAAGGCCCTAAGGTGGGAGTGTGACTGGCACACTGAAGAACGGTGGAGGCCAGTGTGGCTGGATCAGAGTGAGTGAGAGGGAGAGTGGATGAGGTTGAGGAGGTAACAAGAACGCAGTTATGCAGCATCCTGTGGGCCAGGGCAAAGACCTGGGCTTCCACACCCAGCAAGATGGGCTTGCAGGAGAGCTCTGAGCAGAGGGGGAAGGGAAGTAACTGGATGCTGGACAGACCTAGGAGTAGCACTGTTAGGACTGACGGATGGCCACTCAATTTTGATGCTGCCCATCTCTCAAGGGGTTCGTGATGTCACCCTGTTTTCTGACTCCTCACCCTTAGTGGAGGCTCCCTGTGAGAGCCCCCTTTGCTCCCAGGAGCTGCGTTAAGACTGAAATCCAGGTTGCCTGGTTCCCAAGCCCCTGCCTCCAGCATCCACTATTCTGTCTCTGTGGGACAGACTGTGCCCTCCCTCCTGCCAGTCTCTTGTGCCTGAGGGGGGAGGGGGAGGGGAGGTGCGTGCAGCCCCCCTGCCCAGCGCTCCCCTCCCTCAGAGGGTTTCAGAGGCACCCAGGGCCGTGTTAAATGCAGGTCCCAGGCTGGCGTCAGAGGTCCCAGGCCCACTGGCTGCAGCTGAGCCCTGTGTTGGGAGCAGCTCCCCAGGGCGGGGGAGATTTCTTTGCCTCGGCTCCTCATCTGTAAAGTAGCGGCAGAACAGCCTCATGCGCTGCTGGGGGGTCCTGGGCGGCACCCACCACTGTTCCTCAGACGGACAGGCGGCCCACAGCAGAGTGCTGCAGGCTTTCCCACCGGCGTATCGCCGTAGCTGATGTCAAGGATTACTCTTTACTCTGGGACAGTGACCTTCCTACTTGGCCCCGGCACCTTCTTTTCTCAACATGATGTTCTTTTCTGTGAAGTGGGTAGTTTTTAGAAACGGTGCTGGCCTGTGAATTCAACAGTCCAAAAGTGTCACAGGAGGTGCTCACTAAGAGATGGTGGGAGGGGTCTGTTAGTACCGCTTCTGGTCACAGCCAACTCCCCTGCCGCCTTCTGGCCTCTGGGTGTTGGCTCTTGCTGTTCCCTTGGCCTCCAATGCCTCTTTCTCTACCTTCTCCACTTCGGACAGTGCTCAGCAAACATTTACAGCCACGTACTCTGTCCTGTGGAAGTCACAAGGGTGGAAATGGAGCAGGGAGGCCGCCGTGGGCCCGCAGTCTTGGAGCGGGGAGAGGGCTGTGGAAGTGAAAGCTTCCTCAGGAGAGGCTATTTGCTCCCCAGCAGGTCAGGTATTCTTAAGACTGGGTTCCTAAGGCCTCAGGTTCATCCCTTCGAGGCTTACCCACCCGGAGCACCCCCCACACACTGTACTGCCAGATCCTCACGGAAAGTTGTCTCACAGAAGTGGGGACTGAGGCTAGGAGAGGCAAGTCACTTGTCCGTGGAGGATGAGGCAGAGTTGGGACTCAAGGCCAGGACTGTCTTAATTCCCAAAACTCAGGATGGGCAGGTTGTGTGCAGTGGTTGTGCAGACCCCAGAAATGTTCCTGAGCAGGACACATGGGTTCGGCACGTGTCTCTGTTCCACTTCTTCTCAGAGCCTTTAATGGACTGCTGTGCATGGGATTCTTCATGCACAAGAGGCCATCTTCTCGCAGAGAAACCTTCTTTGCATTGGTTGCCAGGAAGCTCAGATACAAATCTGTGGCAAGTGAAACTCTGGTCTGTATTTCAGCGGTTTTCTCCCTTCCCACTGAGTATCCCTGCAATACGACTAAAATCTTTTTTGGAACAAGACAGGGCATTTTCTTTTTCTTGTATTTTTTTAAGGCAGTTGTTTAGATATGATCAGTAAGACTTAAGCATTTCCAAGAATGATGTTTCATCCATTTGTTTGCTCATCCATCCAAGCATTCTGGGCACTGGGCTGGGGGACTCACCCATGACTGGGGTCTGGGATTTGCTCTGAGCCTGTAAGTTTTCAGGGCCTCACCCCCTCTCATCCTCCCCTTACTTCTGGAGGTCAGTAATATCTGCTTCCTGTCCTCGTGTGACCCAAGAAGAAATTGAGACTGTAGCTAGGGCCATGATCAAGATCCCAAAGGTAGTAAGTGGTGGAGCTCTGTCCCTCTGCTGCTCTTTGTAGGAGAGGAGTGAGGGCCCCGAAGCCCTGGGAGATGCCAGACTGCTAGAGGGCTGCTGTGGCCTGGGAGGCGGGGGGGGGGGGGGTGCCTCTCCTCAAGGCCTTCACTTGAGGGATAAAGGCCCCTACAGTGGAGGGAAGAAGGCCATTGTGAAGGCCTGGCCTGTCCACACCACGGGGCGCTCTGTGCCAGGCCCTCTGCTGCTTGGGTGTGAATGAGATGCTGTCTTCCCCTCCAGCGTCCGTGGCTGAGGTGGGTAAGAGCTGGGTCTGGCCCAACTAGCAGGCCTGCTTCTGCCTAGGTATTTAACATGAACCCCAGCTGCCACTTCTGCTCCTTCACCTTCCAATGAGCCTACAGTCTCAAGGCCCCATGGGGACTCCTGGGGGCTGAGACCACCCCACTGTGTGCCAGTCTGTGCCTGTGTGCTCCCCCCACCTCAGGACCTTTGCCAGGGCCATCCTGGTGCCCAGGAAGCTCAGCTCCACCTTCCTGTGTGACCGAGGTCGGTCCTGCACTGCTGCCCATTGGGTATCCATCTCCTCAAGCAGCAGCTCTGTGAGCCAGGGGCCGTGTGTCGTTTGTTGGGGCACCAGCACCTGGAGCTCACTGAGGGCTCAGCCCTTCCCTTGGCTGGGGTCTTGTGGTGTGAATGGCTATGAGGGTGCAGCCCGGTACCCTGGAGCACTCTGGATGGACGGGCCATCCCTGCCCCTCTGCACACGGGGGCGGTGCAGGTTGAGAGAAGAGCAAGGCCTGCAGGGAGAGGTGAGGTCTGGTCTCATTCCTTCCAGGCAGGTTCGAGGCCCACAGCCCCACCAGGGGGAGAGAGGGGGCCCCTGGACAGTGCGAGTTGGAGAGGACGGGTGTGTTGAGGCAGAACTGACCAGACTGTCCTCCAAAGCCACAAGACACACCAACCCTAGGGCCAGAATTCCGTTCTTACGTAGAAGCATGTAGAATTTTCCGACCAGTTTTAGCATCCACTGAACAGACTGCCCTCTCAGGGCGCACCCTACCCTCTGGCACCTTCATGTCCTTGATCTTTTCAAAACAAACCCAGAAGCACCTGAGTAAGATCATTGTGTTGTATGCACAGTTGCACTGAAAAATGTTTTATTTTAATATAAATTACATTCCATTACTTTCCTTTTATCTTACTTGGGGTATTTATGTAGGTAGATGATGTTATGTGTAGATTTCACTGAAGGCAGTAAAGGAGCACGTTACACACGAGGTCTGTAAGACCGAGAGAAGGCAGGTGTGTGCCCAGCCCTGGGCTACTCGGAGGGGAAGCGGCAGTGCTGTGTGACACTGGAGCACTGTGCGAGCAGGCTTTATCATCCGGGCTGGCCTCAGACCCCAGCCTGGAAATTTAACAGCTGTTTATCAGTCAGGCATTTCTGTCACTTGCAATAGTTCACCCAATCACCACACCAACCCTGTGAAGAGAGAGGGACTATTAAATGTCTCCATCATACAGATGATGAAACTGAGGCATGGAGAGCTGATCGCTTGTCCAGGGTTATTCAAGGGCAGGGTCAAGACTGAACCCCAGTGCCTAGAGGGGTGAGAGAACCAAAAAATGCCCAGATAAAGTTAGCTGTAGAAATACAAGTCCTTCTGTAGGACAGTCTCAGAGCTGGTCTACATCTTTGTGTTTGAGCTTCCTAGCAGCCAGAGCAAAGAAAGAAATGGGTTATTGCCACTGGAGTCACAGTGGCTATGAGAAAAGAAACTGTCTTTTTGGATGCTGGGAGCTAACAGGAAGACTAGCTCCCCGGGAGAGTGCTGCAGGTATGGTTGGTGACAGTTCACTACTCGTCCACTACTGCAAATACTGGAATTGTTTGGTCATTTCGATCACCCAAGCAGTGTGACTCTGAGGTGGGTCGAGGGAGCAGCTGCTTGCCGGCCTGGCTTGATCTGCAAGGCAGGGGCAGAAAGGGCCTACAAGAGAAGGGGAGCCCGAAGCCCCAGTGTTCCTGTGGCTGCTGTTTGGGCTCAGCTCCCCACACCGCCCTCTGTCCACCACACTGCTCAACCTGAAAGGCCCCACTAGTCCCTCCACTGTCGCAAGCGTGCCCAAGTCCTGCCCTGGGCTGTCCAGCTGGGGCTGCGGCCACAGGTGGGTGGTCTCTCTCTACTCTGTCGCCCCTCCAATCTGGGCAACGCCTCTGGCATCTCCCCCACATCAGGCAGTACAGTCATTAGATGCTGGCTCCGACTCTTGGCAGGCTGGGGCTCAGCCCCTGGAGTTGAGTGGCTCTGGGCAAGGTGGATGGGCTGCCGTGAGGAGACGGGAAGAGCCAGGCAGAGGGGAGCCAGGACAAGTTTCACCGTCATCTGTGCAGGGCTGGCCGTGGGCGAGGAGGGGGAATCCTCTCTTCACCACTGCCTGCCAGGTCAGCAGTTCCTCAGCTGCTGGGGGTGGAGCTGGCATGGGGGCCCCACATTCAGGGTGAAACCAGTGGCTTTGCTGGTTAGGCTTGGCACTTACATGGCAGGGCAAGCCCAGGGTCTGGAGCGGAACCGAAAGGGAGACCAGGCCTGTTCCCTTCTTGGCCTGGCTTGCCTTACTTCCTCCCAGTGATCCTGAGAGCCCAGAGCCAGCGGGGAGGGTGGGGGGTCAGGCAGGGCCAACTGCAAAATCGGGAGATGGAAGTAGCTCTCTATCCCTAACCCGTTTTGCAGACAGAAAGTAGAGACCGAGAGGCTGGCTGGCTGAGAGCCGCCAGGAGAGCAGAGGCCCCCTCCACGTGCTCGGGTGTGTCCTGTGCCTGTGTAGGTGCTGTGTGAGGCTCCTGTGTCCCCACGGCTCCCTGGCTCCCAGCTGAGAAACTGGGTCCTGGGGAACATACGAGAGGAACTTGAAAGGTGAAAATGCGCTGTCTGGTGCTGGTCACTCAGGGCGGGGATTTGCTATCTGGACAAGCTGGCCGAGCTCATTCCCAGAGCTGTTCGCCTCAGGCTGCTGCGTCCAACGACCAGGGCCAGCCCTGGAGTTACCACCCTTCCACCAGAAACACCTGGCGCCTGTGTCTCTGAAGCACTGTTAAGCATATGGCTTTGGGGACTGACTCTTGCGCCAACTTTTGAAAAGTCAGCCCCCACCCAAGCTGGGCCCTTCTGAGCAGAGGCGGTGGAGGTGAGATTGGCCAAAGCCACTGTGCCGAGAACTCACCTTTGTTCCTGTCTCTTGTTTCCATCTCCCCACCCGGCGCTAGAGCGGGAGGGGCTGTAGTGGTTCCCAGGTGTGCCTCACCCATCTCCAGACTCTCAGGGAGGAGGGCCAGTTGGGCGGCCTCTGTCCCTTCCCCACATCATGCTCCTTCCCCCACTCTTATCTTCTTTTGGCCTCTGCTGGAAACAACCATTGATCATCTCGTGACCCCAGAGGAACAATCTTATCAGTTCTAATCACAAGAGGAAGTGGCGATGGGGGGCAGTGACGGGGTGATCTCCCTTCTGAGAACACACTTGCCCAGGAGATGCTGGCTCTGGAGTGCCCCAGAGCTTCCTACCCTCTGGGAGCAGAGTCCACAGGGTCAGCCCCTGCTCCAGCCAAGCTCAGTCAGGACCTTTCTGCTGGCAGAAGGGAAGGGGGCATCTCCCACCTACTCTGAACCCCATGTGTGCTGGAGTCACGGGAGACTCTGGGCCCGAGGTTTTCTGTGGGTTTCTGGATGGCTGTAACTGGAGCCAGCTATGTGGGGCTTTGTCCCTTGGGACACACTGGCAGGAGCCCCAAGAACCTGTAGCCAAGCTACTCTGTCAACCCCCACCTGCAGCCAAATCCGGGTCTCCTTGTCCTAAGGCTCAGAGGCAGGACAGGTTGTCAAGTGTGGGAGTTGGAGACTCTACGCTGTGTGCTGTGGGTAGGGGTTCACAACCCACTCTCCACTTTCCCAGGAAGGTGTCTTCACCTCCAAGATTTGAGTTTTTTTAAAAACGTGGCGACAGTCTCTGCTTTCTAGGGCTGCTGTTAGGCCAAGAGAGACCTGTACTGGTGGGGAGCCATGGAGGGGCAGAGTGGAGCTACAGGCACGAGAAAGGCTTGAGCCCCCGGGGCAGTCAGCTAGCATCTTAGGGGGAGCCTGGGCTGGAGCCCCCGTGCCCCTCTCCGGGCCTGCTGTCAGGGGGGCCAGCAGCCACAGCGGCCAGGGCAGAGGGCAGGGAGGTCTTTGTTCCACCAGTGGGAAGAGACAGGCATCAGCTGACAAAAGCATGTCAGCTGGCATGTCAGGGGTCCAGGTGGAGCGGAGGTTGGCCCTCAGCCCACGTAGGTTTCCGGGGAGCTAAGTGTGTGTGTTGGGGGGGTGGGAATGGTGTGGTGGCCCTCTGCAGGCTCCCAAAAGCCAGAATGCTAGTGCTCCCCCCAGGCTCAGGTGCCCGCCCAAGAGCCACACACTCGGTAAGCTAGGCCCCAGGGAGACAGCAGGAAGGCCAGAGGCCTGGGGGGCCAAGGGCATCAGGGACAAGCCTTGAATGCTCGGCCTTGCTCTCCTAGAGTTCAAAGCCCAAGCTACACGCAGCCTGCTCTAGCATCCAGGAGGTGCGACGGTGCACACGTCTCGAGATGCCTGACAACCTCTACACCTTTGTGCTAAAGGTGAGTGACAGCTTTCCACACCGGGGCGGGGAGGGGGGACGCAAACCTCAGATCCCACATAGCTGTTCCCTCCCTCCCTGCCAGGTGAAGGACCGGACAGACATCATTTTTGAGGTGGGAGATGAGCAGCAGCTGAATTCGTGGATGGCCGAGCTCCGGGAGGGCACAGGCCAAGGGTGAGGTGCCCACCCCTGGCACCACTTTTACTGCTACCCCTGACTGACCCACATCCTTAACCCCGGTCTCTTCTCCAGCAGGCTGGAGAGCTCAGACCCAGAGATGCAGATTCCCTCAGCCTTAGAGCCCGGCATGTCTAACTCTCCAAGGGGAAGCACAGATTCCTTAAACCAAGGTGAGGGAGGCTTGGAGACTGGGAGTTTGGGCCTTCGTCCTCTGGTACATCAGAGCCCAGTCCCAGCCCAGGGAGTAAGGCACCCTTGAGGGTCACCATCACCCATCTTCTTCTCAATTAGGAGCTTCTCCTGGGGGGCTGCTGGACCCAGGCTGCCAGAAAACAGATCACTTCCTGTCCTGCTACCCCTGGTTTCACGGCCCCATCTCCCGAGTGAAAGCAGCTCAGCTGGTTCAGCTGCAGGGTCCTGATGCTCATGGAGTGTTCCTGGTACGGCAGAGTGAGACACGGCGTGGGGAGTACGTGCTCACATTCAACTTCCAGGGCATAGCCAAGGTATGGGGCAAGGTGGGCGGGGCCGCACCCCCTCCACCTTCAAGGCCCTTAGGGCCAGTGCCTGAGCCGTCTCCTCTCCCCCAGCACCTGCGCCTGTCACTGACGGAGCGGGGCCAGTGCCGAGTGCAGCACCTCCACTTCCCGTCGGTGGTGGACATGCTGCACCACTTCCAGCGCTCACCCATCCCACTCGAGTGTGGTGCTGCCTGTGACGTCCGGCTGTCCAGCTACGTGGTAGTTGTTTCCCAGCCACCAGGTGTGACCCTGATGCCCCTTGATAAAGGGGGTGGTGGCACTGGGAACCCAGCAGAGGGTAAAAGCCTGCTGCAAACTCAGCAGGGCAGAGACCTCGTTCTGTGTCCTTCCAGCGCTTGCCCCGTTAAGACTGACAGTCTGGTCTCTCTCTCCGTCACTTGTCCCCCAGGTTCCTCCAACACTGTCCTGTTTCCTTTCTCCTTCTCTCGCTGGGATTCCGAGCTGGGCCTTCCCCACCTTAGCTCTTCTGGCTGTCCGCGGGGGCTTGGCCCAGAGGGCCTCCCAGGCCGATCCTCTCCCCCAGAGCAGATTTTCCACCTGGTGCCTTCGCCTGAGGAACTGGCCAACAGCCTGCGGCACCTGGAGCCCGAGCCTGCCAGTCGAGCCAGGGACTCAGACTACGAAATGGACTCCTCCTCCCGGAGCCACCTGCGGGCCATAGACAATCAATACACACCTCTCTGACAGGCAGCCAGAAATCCCAGGCCTCACAGATGCCCGCGGAGCACGAGCAAGCAGTTGTGAACTTGCGAATGTAACTTTCTTTCCTTCCTTCCAGAGAGAGATTTAAGGGGCACCGTGAACTGCTCATTTCAGTTTGGATGTGACCCTTCTATTGGGCCTGTTAAAGGGCCTCCGGCAAGTCTCACTCTCACCTGGCTTTCTCCTTGTTTACAGATGTAGCTCTTGTTCGCGGACCCGCTGGCTCCCGCCCTGGGTCGCTAGGACTCGTCACGCAGAGGCGGCGGTGGGGCGAGGGCCGGAGCTGGCAGTGGAAACTTGTTCTTTTTCACTGACACCGTCATAGCTGATGACAGGCTTTCTACTGGGGGGGGGGGGCATCAGGAAGCCCAAAACACTAACAAGCCCTGGATTCTCCCCTGCTTTTCCCGCTTCAGTGCCCGTGGCAGGGCTGCTGCACCCAGGCCACAGGTGACCACACTTACCCTGCTTCAACTCTCAGCTTTAGGACAAAGCTCTGGCAGATGAACAAGCTAAAGGTCAAAAATGATTTTAGACATTTTACCTCAGATTAATTTTTCAAAGGATTCAGGTTTCAAAATTAAACCACTGCTTCTTTCACTGCACTGTTTGAACTAACACCCATGCGATTTTTGTAGTCAGAGCCAGCTATGCAAACCCTACTTGACTAGCTCCTGGTTCGAGCCAGCATGCCTGGCTTCCTGTCTATTGTATCCTCAGGACAGTCACCTGTTGCTGAGAATAAAGATATAGAGAAGTGAAGCATGTCACCCTTTCAGGGAAATTCAGGCAACTGCTGAAATAGGTGGGTGGCAAGGAACAGTTCCACCCTGGTGCCTTAAGAATAAAAAACTGGATGCTGGTTTACAGACGCTTTTTATGGTGAGCGTTAAAACCAACGGGTGGGGTGAGGGAGGGGCAAGCTAAAAGGCAAGAAGGGCTGCTGGGTTCTTTCTAGGAAACCCTTCACCAACAGGACTGGCTCAGAGCCTCAAAGAGTCTACTGACATTAAATTATCCCAACCAGGTTTTAGGCTCATTCTTGAGCCAAAATGGAATCTAGGGATCTGGTGCCACAGCTAAATGAAAAACTCCTTTAAGAGACCACGATCAATGTCCTGTTCCAGCCCGTTACTGCCTCACCTGATGAAGAATGTGTGTGGATGTAACAAGCACACACCACCTCCGACATCCAGGGAGGTCCTGGAGGCAAAGTTCCATCTATACTTGCCTTTCACAAGTGAAACAATTCACAGGGAGCTGGCTTGTCCCAGAACTTTCATGCGGAGGCTCAGAAACAAGGCAGGCAGTGACAGAGTGGAGTCGATTGCCCCTGGCTGCCAGCAGGGCCGTTCAGTACAGCTGCCAGGCTCACCGAAGTGGCTTCTAGGAAACTGGGAATTTAGCACAGCTTAACATTTATAGAGGCACTGATCAAAGCCTAAAATTAAATCCTGGCCTAAATTACTGCCTGCCTTATCTGGGATGAGGGTTTGGTCTGCTCCCTCCAGCCACTATCTGTGTACTCCAGGAGGTTAGAGGTCAGACTTTGGAAGGATGGGGAGGTAAGCAGCCCACCACTCTTCACCACTTGAAAACCCAACACTCCTGGGTGTTTTCACAGATAGTAAAGAAGATCCAATCCTGATCTAGAGTTGTGGTCTATTTCTGAGGGCACTTGTCTTTCCTTCATATTCCACACATCAAGCAGGTCTCTGAGTAAGGAATGCTAAGCTGAGTGTGAACCAGGAGTAAGCGCTATTTTGGATTTCTCTTTTAAAAGAGAAAGTGCATCACATACAGCTAATACTGACACGTCACTGGTACAGCTTTTCCCCTTATCTGCACAGGGAACGGGCAAGCAGACAATGAACCAGACAAGTTCCCGCCCTCCCACAAGAAGGGTAAATAAACATGTGGGATATGACATCTTCAAGCCAGGGACACTCACTCCTTAACAGCCTCTCAACATACAATTCTCAGGTAGTGCCAAGAGGCAAGCCAGGCTCCAAGCTAGCAGCTCTGACCCGCTGGACAGTCACCTACTTCCACACTGCTCCAGTATAGAATGTTCAAGAAAAACATTTCTAAACCTTTCTGAGTTACGACGACAGCTCAAATACATTCCAACACAAAGCCCCCTCAAGGCCTGGGAGGAAGTGACACTAACCCAGTGCTGCCTCTTTCTGCTAGAGCAGGTCGCGCTGAAGGAAGGGCAGCAATGGGTCCCTGGACTTGATGCCTCCACAGGCAGTGACCCTGATGGCTGCAGCCAGCCCACCACAGTCAGCACACACCACCACCCTCCTTTCAGGCTCAATGTGACCACCGCTAGCGGCAAGAGACCAAGCCAGCGGCCTCCACCGAGAGCCCAGGCTCTGAGGGCCAAATGGACAATAAAGGCATCATAACCCCTCTGGTTATCTCTAATCACAGGCAACAGGATAGCTTGATTGCTCCCAGCCTCATCGCTTCCTTCATCTCACGTTAATGAACTTTTACAAACTAACAGTCACCAGCACCAAAGAATTAAGTCAATCAACTAACCTGCCTTGAATTTTAGACCAGCAATCCATATGGTTTTATCTGGTATAAATCTTCTGCCTTTGATCATTTCTGGACCGTGTAGGAGAGAGGAATAGCAATCATTACAATCTTAAGCCAGAGAACACTATTTTTACATAACAGTTTTTTAACCTAAAATCAAGGCCTTGAACCCTTCCCTAAGGATTGCCCGAGATTCCCTCATGCTATTATTCAGCCTTTTATCACAAATGTCACGTGAGCTCTAACATCTCCCACAGGCTAGACGAACTTGACAGTTTGTATCCACTGCCTTGCCTCTTAACAAGGACACATCTGACATCCAGTGTTTGGCTGGGATAAGCAGCAAATTGTTAATGACCACACAGAAATGGATGCATTGAATATCATTATAGGCAGAAGGTATCCGCAGATTTTTATGTATTGTTTATGTACTGTATAAATAACTTATTCATGATGAATGCAAATTTTGCTATAATGTACAAATTGCTACATGTGAATTAAAGAAAGTTTTCAGAACCTTGATTTGTTGTCATGTTATTTAAAGGCTCTATTAGGACTTGGGCTCTGCAAAATACTTGCTTTCCCATTTGTCGTCCTCCCACAAATTGGAGACATTAACACATGCTTAGGAGTCTACAGCAATATGCTGCTTTGTACATCACTGCATCTTTTCAGTCTTCTGTATCAGTTTTTTTTTTTTTTAAGTGTATCCTGCCCTCTACTGGTTAAACAGATGCCTGAATCAGGACAACTAACAACACTCATTTGGGTTCAGGAGATATTAAAAAGGAAGCTTACGGAATCAGCGTCGGGCTGAGGATGTGGACTTTCAGTGCTGCCCAACTCTGGCCAACCTTCCTCCTTCTGAAGCAGACCTCTATGCACCAAAGAGAATTATCTCAGTCTTGTCTTTTTCTAGAGATACCTCGAATTAGAACTAAAGGTGAAAAAAAAAAAGCATTTGACAGCTAGCGAATCTTCCAGGGTATTAAGAAAGCAGAGCCAGACCTCCTGCCCCCATATTCAGTATCCTATAATGGGAATAGCTCATACAAACACACATTAACTTGGTATCAGTTTTTAAAACTTTTTTTTATTTTTTAATTTTTTTTAGGTTTTTATTTTATATTATCTACAAAGTAAAAGTTTTTCCCTTAACTTAAAAGTTGAACCACTGTAGACAGTGATCACTTCATCAAACTTGATTTATAAATAATAATCCGTCAGTTTGACGGTAAGAATTTACTGAAACTTTGTCAAGTTTAGTAAAAGGGTGTTCCAAGTCTTGATTTTTTTTTTTGTTTTTTGTTTGTTTTTTGCGGTAATAGCAGCAAGAATCACTCTTGTTACTTCTTTTGCTAGCTCATGTGTTCATGACTTTCAAGGGTCATTAAAAAATAAATAACTTCCAGTTTCAGCAAGCAGAGCTGGGGTACTTGCGGGACTTGGAAACAGCATATGGAATTATGGAACAGCCCACAAGTTCCTAAATGCCTCTACTCGGTCCAAATATCTTCCACTGCAAGTGAACTGTTAGCATTCCTATTGGATGTTACAAGAAATCAACATATTTTTTTAAAAACAAAATAAATGAAATTCTAGTTTTCTGTGCTTCCAGTTGGTAGAAGCAGTAGAAGGGAGGAGGGAATTTGGCCTTTCGGTTCCTCCAGGGCAGCCTTACAACTGCTGTTGGTGGTGGGCTTGTACTGTAAAAAAGAAAAGTGAATATTTAAACAGAAAACTGGCAACACTGCACGTTAGCCTAGTGTCTCTGCAGCACACGACTGTGAACTATCCTTGTGCTAGCTGAACAAGACTCAAAATTTAATTCATTCTTCACCCCTCCCACCCCCTCCATCTGTACCAAAAGGGGGAGAGGTGGGTGGGTGGGTAGAAACAAACCAGTCAGACATAAAACCACTTCAGATAAAACTCCCAGAAGAGTTGTTGCTGATGGGGTACCAACAAAAGGCCTTAACATACCCCCTCCCCAAATACTAGCCAAGCACCAGTACTGCTTTCAGAGTAATAGGTTAGACTGAAATATCGCCATGGCAGCCATCAAGTATTAGAGCACAATCACAGGGCATTCTCTCCCTGGCAGGGCATAGAGTGGAGCTAATACTAGACTCAAAACCAATCCACACACAGCACTTTCTCATCAGTAGTCGTCTCCAGAGCTACAATCAAACTCTGCCATGGTGGTGGCCCCCCACATGTCAGACTTTTGGACTCAGGAAGGAAAACGCTGCCCTGTCCAGCCTATCAACAAGGAAGGCCAACTGAGTCCTAAGCATGCATCAGCTACACAGAATGCTGCTGCTGCTTCTCATCCAGCCAAATCCTGTATACCATCAGAACACACACAGACTAGGCTCCCGGGAGCCTCAGGCCCTGACACTGAGCTGATCATCACAGTCCCCTACTGTGCGCACTGTGGCGGGTGTCGCCAGTTCTCAGATACGGGGCTTGAAGCGCTGGCCCTGCCTGCCATTTGACCTGTGCGAGCGGAATGCTTTGGGGTGCCCGGCGGCCCCTGCACACACACGCCTCACCTGAAGGGTGCGTCATATAGGGGAAATGCGCTGTTGTCGAGACTGGAATGGGCTGTAGTGCACTTTGAGCGAGGGCGGCCTGGGGACCGCCGGGTGGCTGTGTCGTCATTAGCATCATTGGCGCATGGGCAGTTGGATGAGAAGGAACCATTCCTGACTGTACATGAGCCTGAAACAGAGAGCTCTTTTACGCATACAGGCAACATCTCCAGCTTAAACAACACGTCAACTGTCCCCTTCACTGGGCTGGGGCTCTCAGGGAAGGGCGACAGGGCGCTCGGGGCGGCTTCTTTCCTCTGGGGATATTCCCTAGAGGATCATCAACTGACCTACAGACATGCTCCACCCTTAGGCAGACCCTGCAAGACTGAGGGAGCAGGCAGCCGGTGAGCCTGGGTGAAGTCAGGGCTGCAATGTCCTAGCCTTCCGTATTTCTGATGACTGAATTCTACGCACGGGGTAAAGTCTTCACAAAGATAAGAACTGAAAAAGGGCAGCTTTCTCAACTTAATAGGAGACTAGATGCAATGATGCTTCAGAATCTGGCCTCCACGTGGGGCCAGAAGTAGTTTCAGAACATCTCTTTCAATAAGAAAGCAGGAACTGTTCCTTCCATGTTCTCGCCTTGTTTGCCCTTCCCGCTCTGCTTCTTGCCTGCTCACCAGCACACCTGTCAAGAATGAGTCAGGGCAGTGAGGAAAGACTCCCGGGCCCCTTTACTCTGCTGAAAGATGCGCTGACAGAGCAGCAGGAGGAGGGGTTGCGTTAACGGCTCCAGTGAGGTGGGGAGGGGTCATCTGAAATTATCTGGGCCAGCCCAGTGCCCTTGTACCAACTGATAGTGAGTTCAAGTGTCAAACTGGACAGGTTTTAGCAAGCCCAAACAGCCGGATCCCAGCTCTGCGGGGATTTGGTAGATCCAGGAAGAGCCCTGTTTCCTGCCTCCCATACTGTGCACTGTTCTGGACCACAATAAGCCTTGACTGAAATGCTGTTTTGACTCTTACATATTCAAATGGACTCACGGCATATGTGGGCTTCCCTGTGTTAACTTTTTGCTTTTTCAGCACAAAAACACAAAAGTGAGGTTTTAGGAACCCCAACTTACATGTAAAGTCACATACCTACTTAGCCACCAGCCTCTGCTAGACATCTACAGGCCCCCAGGTCTCATGAAGCTCCTGATTCAGCCAAACCATACTGGCCCACACCTGACCAAACTGGCTCCACCCGCCCCACCATCAAAGTCAACGCAGCCACTGCAGTGCGCCACACCACAGAACCGACACAGCTGCTGGGGAGGACGCGCAGACTTCCCAGAGCTGTGGCACTCCAGTTACAAAGCTGCCTTCTGAGAGTCAGCTTCCACTGAGTAGCATCTCCAGCCCCCACCATGCCAGAGCCTCAGTGGCACACTGCTCGCCATGAATGAAATGGGCGTAGAGTGAGGCAGCCTAGCTTAGACCCACCTAAGAGAGCTCTGTTATGAAAGCAGCAAAAAGAGACATCGAATACAGCCACTTCACCCTTAGCAGCTCCAGGGAGGGCCTCCAGGACAGTGTTAGAGCCCAACTTCAGTGCAGCTCCTGCTCCTCATTAAGACAATCCAACTTGGCCCTGGATTGCACTGGACTTTTGTCAGTAGCTGATGCAGACAGCAACCACACCTTTCAACCTTTAGAAGCTTACACTGGAGGTTAGCTCCAAAATGCTTCCAGGGCTGTTCTCTAAGAAAAATGGGAACACCTGGGTGCTTCCAGCTTCAAGTTACACAGCACCAATGTATAAGGCCAAGCCCTTTCAAGAAGTACACCATATGGTCAAAGCAGATGTATGAATAGCCAGGGAAAACAAGTGGAGAGACTTCTTTGGAACTCATGTGACTAACATTCAACCTGACAGGCCCCAAGTAGTCACCTCAGAGTTGAGAATTTGTGAAATCCCACCCTCTTTGCCAGACTTGTGTGTGTGTATCGGGGTGCGGGGACTGGGGGGTGGGGTGGGAAGGAAGGAGGGAAAGACTATATATGTATACATAGATATACCAATGAAGCTATATAAACACAGCAAAGCAGACACAGCAAGGAAAGAACTAGGTTGCATTCCAAGAGTCAAAAATATTTTTAGGGTCTCAGTTGGGAAAGGTTAAAAGACTGACCAACCAGCAACTTCACTGATTCCATTACAAAACCACACAAACATTCACTTAGGGCCAGATCACACGTATTTGAGTGGGAAAAGGGAGACAAGCAAATGGTACCACACACAAGGTCTCCTAGCTTGAAGAGCATCTGGCTCGTTGCTGCTTATCTGAGAACCTTCACACTCTACTCGGTCTTCACAGAAAGTTGGCTAAAGCAGGTTTACCTGAGGTACATGGGCCATGTGGGGTGGATTGGTGTATGCTGGCTGAACATGAGAAGGATGAATCGTAAAGACGGTCTGTTGTGCTGCTGGGAAACTATTCTGTGGCGACTGCGTATTGGAAGCAGGTGTCATGGAAGGTGGGGTGGGCGCGAGCCCCGCGTGGTAGATGGCTGACTGCTGCTGTGGACTGGCCAGATGAAGAGCCTGGGCGGCCTGGTGCTGATGGTGCTGCAAAGTAACAGGAAAGAATTGAGAAAACCACTTTTTAAATAAAAAGCAGTTAAAGTCATACACAAAGCTGAGTTTTGCACACAAAAACAGACTCCACTGGGCCTCGGATGAGGGGTGAAGGCAAGGACAAGAGAATGTGCGTACAGGGCGCTAAGAGCAGGGCTGGGGCGGAGGGCCTCCTGTCCAGAGACATTCCTTTCTGGGGTACAAGCCTGATTCTCAGCCTTTGAGCCCTCAACCCAGAGTGGTAAAACAAGGCTACCAGGGAACTGACAGATGTCAAACAGATCCTTAAGCTCCTTGTTAACAAACATGATTTAAAAAGCTAAAAAAAAAATCATTTTGTTAGGAATAAAATTTTTACAAAGTCCAAGCAAATTCCTTACTTTATGTCACATTCGATTTTTCAACACTGGTTAAGTTTTCCAGAACTTACCCAATCACCTTGTTCTCACTATGTACCTCAAGGTGACTTAAACCCTGGGGGCGGGGCCTGCAGAGCTGTTCGCTGGCTCCGAGAGGCAGGGCTGCGAGGTGTTTTGATCACATGGTACCTAGCATCTTGCCTGGCACTGAAGAAAATACTCAGTAAATAGAATGAGGAAGCAGTTCTGGTGAGGCCTCAGCCCCTCCTTACCTGAACAGGGCTGGGTGCAGGGTGGCTTCCACCGTGCTGGCTCTGCTGCTGTCCGGTAGGGGTGGCTGAAGGCTGAGGGTGTGGAGTATGCGGGTGCAGGGTAGCGTTAGGATGCGCATACTGCTGAGCAAGGGAGCCAGTGGAAACTGAAGTGAAAGAAAGGAGTGTGTGTAACTGACCTGTGTGATGATCCCAGTTACTCCTTCACGCCTCGTCAACTCTCAGCTCACATCAAGTGAGCTTTCCTGATGCTTGATGCCTAACCAATCTCTATATTCAACTCCATTTAAACCGTTCATTCCTTGAAAAACTAAGTGCGAAGTTACTGCTTAATAATCAGACTAGCATTTTATTCATATAACATAGCTGCACACATTTTATCAAAATCTAATTAATTAAATTTAAAACAGTCACTAGGTTTTCCTGAAAAGGCAACTTAGAAACATAGGCAGAAACAATTCGAACTCTCCCCCTCTCTCTCACACTCACACACACACTTTAGCCCAAGGCCGTCATCTGGCTAACCTCACCATGCTACTGCCCTGGAGCTGGCGCAGTGTTCTGCGGGCGCGGACTACATCAGGACTGGGGCAAAAGGGGCTGGATGAGATGTGTGGCAAAGTCAGGGCTCTATCTTTAGGCCCAAATGACCACAATCTCTCTCAGCTGATGGCAGAAGCCACTGTCACTCAGTTCATTTCCTGGGTGTCCCCCTCCCCCAGCAATCTTTCACTTCTTCTTTATAAAAATCTAGCGAATGGGATTACCTAAACTTTGTAAAAAAATGAACTCCCTTCAAAGTACCCCAGCCTTCAGAAAGAATATTGCTAGCTAGAGTAATCTGAAAGGAAATATGACAGGCTAGTTTGAGTGAAAATGTGTTCATTAAAGATAAGAACTCAAAGCTAATTTTTTGTGAATCTCAGCACAGATCATACCTTGGCACAAAACAGGGAGATCAGGCATAAATTTGTCCATGTCTTCCCAAAACAGCAATTTGAGAATCAAAAAGCACAAGATGGATTCACTGCTTCCAGTCAGTTCTGACAGCACACTGATGCAAATGGAACCACACGTGGCAATGAGTGAGGACAGTGTCCTCAAGATGTATCTCATGGAAGTCCACGTGGGACTTCCGGCCTTATCTCAATCCTAAAACCCCTGAGAAGCTAAGCCCATACAAAGAAACAATTCCAAAATAGTTCCTCACCTTCTTCATATGACATGTCGGCAAACGCATATAGAGGACAGATGGGGAGAAGCAAGCACTACTTTGGGATCGGGTATCCTAACTTAGGCAGTCTAATATGTAAGGCTGCTGAGAGTCACCAGCACAGGTGACTCTGGGGATGTCATGAAGAGGGTTAAGCAAATGAAACAATTCTGTAATGCTTCACACATTGTAGGGCCAAGGGCCACCAACATTCCAGCCCAACTGGTCATCTTCCCAAATGTATCTTTTAAAGGAGGAACAGCGAGGCAAAATGCCAGTGCTGGCATCATCTGTGCATCCACTGTCAATGCCACAGCAGGCACTGATGTTAGGTTAATACCCAGATTACATTAAACAAAGCACTTCGGTTTATACATTGGGACATGTCCCTAACTGTAAGAGTTAACATACATTGGAACCCATTAACAAGGAAAGCTTGTAATGTATTCTCTGGGTCTCTTTAAGAAGTCAGTGAGTATTTTCTGGGAGGTGAGAAAAATAACATGTTAACTGCTTTCTTGAGCTTCATAATCCCACGAATCTATGAAAGAAGTCAGTGTCCTTCTTCAAATCCACTGGCTTATTAAAAGGCTTTGCCATCATATTCATTAAGTTAATCTTCAGATTCCCCCAAAATTCTCTAGGCACTGACTTGGTCTAAAAGACTTGACATAAATTTTGAACCTGACTTTGTACTTATAAAAATCTTACAATTATTTTTCAAATTTATTTTAGAATAATTAAAATAGCTACATGTAGCTAGTGGCTACTGACTAAACAGCACAATCTGTAGCACATTTCCATTGTCACAGAAAGTTCTACTGGACAGTGGTCTAGACTCATTCACGCTCCCTTCATTTTCAAACCATTAGCATTAAAATTCTCCCTACCACAAACTCTTAAATGTTTCATTTGTGACAATTCTAGTCTGTCTGGGGGAAAAGCAATTCCCAAATCCAAATTCTATTTATAAAGTTTCAAAAAGGCAGAGTATAGAATCTTAAAGAGTTTCTACTTTTTAACTTTATTTACTCAAGAACTTTTTGTAGTAAAAGTTTTAAATTTCACTTTTAATTACCTTCCAAGCAAAGTATTAAGGAAATAAAAAGTGACAATAATAAACTCTCACTGGGTGCTATTTTATTAATTTTTATACACAAAAAAGCATGGCCATCACAAAGAGAATAATTATGCCCATCAAGTCTCATAATCAAGTTTTTCATCAATTAGAAAAATGTTAAAATCTTGAAACTATTGAGAAAATTAAAGATGAAGTATTTTTTTACTATGCATTTAAAAAAGGCATCTCTGTGACAGTTTACCAATACTGAAAGGCTACAGAGTATTCTATCTCATCTGCACTCATAACACAAATACTGCAAGTAATCCAAGCTGAATGTATCCATCTCGGCTTTTGTTTAAAAAACAAAAAAACTAAAACACCATCTGTTCCTTACCTAAACACCAGTAAACTACAATGCATTACAAGAAAAATTAAGCAGATATAAACATACATCATAAGCTGCAAATAAAATGTAAGGATGTTTGATTAGAAATATCTTCCTTTGTTCATCTTCTTGCTTAAAAGATGTTTGTTAAGCAAGTACCTTATCCAGGAACTCTTTTCTCCCCTCAAAATGAAAACTTGGGAAAAATGTGGAACTTACACTTTAATACTAAAAATACAGTTTGGTTCCTTGAAGGGCCAGTTATGAATGAGACAAAAAAAGGTGGGATAAGAAAAAAGTAAAAGGCTGAAAGGGGAAAAAAGGTTGGAAGGGGAGAGAGAAAAGAACCAAGACAGAGTAAACGAGGAAAAAAGTCTAACGATCCGGGAAAGGAAGAAGTGGAGAGTGACAGGCAGGAAATTCGGGCCTTTCCTGAGCTAAGTCAATCATTTAACAGCTTTTGTTATACATGCTCATTAATTTAGCTAATCATATCAGAGAGGCTAAAAGTAAAGTGAATTTACTTCAAAATTCTCACTTAGCTATTCATTAATCAAACTTCTATTTATAAAATTTAAATTGCCTTCATGAATCCTGGATTAGGTCAAGCTAATCAAAAGAAGAATCGATTTTGGGGGGGCCAGACCTGATCCGTAAGTTTCCCGTTCACTGTGTTCCTTGATATAAAGGTTTAAAACTCTCATTTACCGATTTATTGAATCCTCAAAACACTAACCACAGTCCAAAAATAGTTTCCTAAGCCATGATCTTACTGAATGAAGCCAATTTAGTCCATGAGGCTGTGCATTTAATTTTTAACTAGGTTTTGTCATTTTTGACCTTGGGTGCACAAGTCATGAGAGATCACCAGCACAGCAAAACTTTAAAAATGAAGCAAAACTTTAAAAATGAAACCAAACAAAATTTCCCAGCTTTTAAAACAAACCATGAAAGAATGCTTCGAAGAGGGGTGGGGGAGGGGGACGAAGCAGCAAATTAAACTACAAATAGCAGTCCCAATGTTAAGCTTCTTTTCAAAAGTACTGATACTCTCTTTAAGGGAAAGCTGTAGATAGCGAATGCTTAGGTGTGATGATTAGGACCTGTTAGCTACTTACCAGGAAACCGACTCCAAAACGACTAACAGAAACAGTAAGATGGTGAGGATAACTACATTTGAGACCTCAAACTGAGTACATAATAAAATTACTGACACTGGCTTTTACATACTACATCACATCCATAATTTCCCTTTAATAGTAATATATACAGCAAGACTCCTTTTTAAAGAGCATCTATTAAAGGATTAAATTTGTTAACATTTCCTAGCACCAAATAAATATAGTATGTACATACTTATTTTTGGATACCAAGTCATGGCACAATTAATGAAAATTTTAGTCAAAATGTTTCTAAACGCTTTTTAAAACCTGGCATCTAGTCGATTCAGGTACTGAGTCATTCTAAAATAATTTAAAATTTAGTCTCTAACATAAAATTTTAACCCTTAAAATTCCCTATAGTATTTCACATGAAGTGACACATATTACACTGGCATACATTTCTAAAAGATTTCTGCAAGTTAGTGACTTTCCTATCCAAATACCAAAAATCCATTAATGGCCTTATTTGAAAATTGTCCTACAAATAGAGAAAACACAGCTCACAAGTTCGTTTCCAAAAGATATCCCTGTTCAAACTTTCTCCATTAAGGAGCAATCACTTAACTTTCCACTAGTAATGAGAGGTGGCTGGTGCTGCCAGAGATAATCCTGGGTAGCTGCTAGTCATGCTTTTCATGCTTAAGCTCAAGACATCCATGAGGTGTCTGCTAACCTGAATATTTTAAACCTGTAGTCGTGTAAAGACCAAAAATACAAGAATGCTTCTCCCCTAGTATTTCAACCCTATTCAATTAAAAATCTTTGTAAGGGTAAATTTTTTCTTACCAGGATACTAAAGTTTTAAGTCTGTTGTTTTGCTTTAAAGAAAAAAAAAAAGCATTTCTAAAACAGTCACATGTTTGCTTGGTATGCAAAAATTAATTTCTGAAACAATTCAATTTTTAATTAACTCCAGCTTTCTTGAAGCTGGGTTATATTTCCTTTTTTTAAAACTGAATTATTTTCAGATATATATGTATATATTTAATGATTTTGTCTGGCACAAGGAAAATACTGCTCAACAAGTCTACTCCCTTAACATGTATTCTTTAAAAAGTGTTTTACTGTTCAATTAAAATTAGTATAAAAAACCCAACTCACTGGCAAAGTAGAAAGAAGGGCTTGTCTCCTTGTTGTATGGTAATTTGGGACATGCTGAATTTGGGAAATAGAAAGGTTAATTAGCCTTGTGAGGTGTGCATTTTCCTAATTTTCTGGAAAGGCTGACATATTTAATAATCTCTTTGTATTCATGCATAATTCATTTTTCTTACTTTACAAGAGATGACAAGCACTTTAAAAACATTGCTACAAAATTAAATAAGATAGGGCTGAACCAACAGACATTTTTCTTCTGTATTGGAGTGTCAAA